CACATTCCAAAGGCTGCCATAAAAACTGAGTAATTTGTAGTCTTAAGTTTTTAAAAATTGTTTATAATTTCTGCATATTCATAGGATAAATAGTTCAAGGGTAAGACTATCTGCCCCTTTTATCTACACTTTCAAATAATTTCCCACTCCTCCCTGTGCACAAAAATAATACTAAGAATTGTGTTATTCTTCATTATTTTCCAAAGCTATTAAAAAGCATATATCACATTGAAGGTCAGATAGTCATTTGCCAAGCAATAGAGTTTCCTAAAGACTAACATTGCTGTACCAGACAATAATTGACTCAAAGGTATTGAGCTTTGTTAAGAAAATCACAGAAAATCAATTAAGATGCAGGTTTTAAGATGTGGAGAAGTATACACTCTTAATTTGTATCAGTTACATATATAACCTCCCAGAGTTGCTGGGAGTTGGGTGGCATATACATTTAATACATTATTATTTATTATAACTGTCAGTACAGTATTACTTAATCCAGTAACTAAGTAACTACAGAAAACATTGTACATCTTGTCAACTCCATAAAAAAATAGTGTTGCATTCATGTTAGAGGTTTTTCGCAGAAAATGTGAACTTCAGTTTCTAGTCACTATTGCATAGATTGGCCAATGAATTGGTGTTCTATTGCACCTGCACTGGAGAGAAGCAGGAAGCAAAAAACTAAGTTAGAAAATAGTCTCTAGAAAAGGCACAATAAGTTCTGAAAGAGTGAACAATCTATGAACCAGAATTATATTTGTCTCCCTCAGCTTGTGTTCTGCTTCCATTCTGAAAGGCGCTTCTAAACAATTGTGGATTTTAGTGTCAAAAGGGGTTTATTGCTATAGCAGTTATTTATTAACTGCTAAAAATGAATATTCCAGCCTTACAGAGGCTGGGTTAGGTCTAGCATGGCATAACAAGATAATACTGTAGAGCACTACAACACTTTCAAAATTATATTCAGCATAGTAATAACCCCTTACTAACTTTCTAAAAAGCTCTTTGTTTTCTACATTTTCCAATGTGTTGTTTAAATTGAAGGAAAAAAGTCATAATCACATTCTGTGAAACAAGGGAGACTCATCAAATCACTGAGATCAATTTATTAATAATTACATCAATATATACAAAAACTGTAGTGAAATTTATTTTTCCTATGAATATAAATGTATTTTTCCATTTATATAATGTACACCATAGACAATTTTCCTAACATACCTGCCCACCCTACTTTTTAATTATGCATTTCTGCAAATATTTTGTTTCCTTTTTCTTATTCTTAGCCAATCTGAAGGTATTCAGATTTTTAGAGGGTGCTATCACATCCCGAGTCCCAGTTTTCCAGGTAAAATTATAAATAAATAAATAAAATTGAGTGTGTGAGTGTATGCACTCTGTCTCTCTCTCCAAAAATTGAAAATCTCATCTTTGAATGTTATTAAATCATTCAAAGATGAGATTTTTTATGAAAAAAAAAATCACACATGTTAATTGAATGGCTTGAAGACATAACAATTACACAAAACAACTCAGTAATTTGAAAGACAGTTTTTTAGTCATTTAGTCATAAATTTAACTTTAGTTCACCATGTTCTTCTGGATGGTAAACAGAATCTCTTAATGTTATTGAAATAGCTTAAATATTATTTATTTTATAAGCTTGAATCACCAAAGTAACTCTAGATGGTTAAAAAAATATGGCATTATATACCTAAAAACTGAATTCACATGTAGACAATAGGTATACTAATCACTATTTCCTTTCACCAACATATAAAACTAAAATATCTGCATTAAGAGACATATTTAGTGAGCAAGAGTACAGTAGTGAAAGGTCATGAACTCTTTGAATGAATTGTAATTGTGGTACAATTGGATCTGAGCTCCATTTAAATCCTCTTAATAAGAGATTTTGGTGAAACAACACACAAAACAGTATCATAACTGAACATACCAAGCCAACATTCACTATGTCAATTGACTGCTAGCATCCCCTTGAGCAGCAGTGACTTCAACCAAGTGTTTCTTGTTATCTGTTGATCAATCCTATACACCAGCTTGGAGGTATTTTGGCCCATTCCTCCATACAGAACTGCAACTCACTGATACTTTTGCATGAGCTGCTCACCGAGTCATGCCACAATATTTTAACTAGGTTAAGGTCAGTGCTTTGACTTAGCCATTTTAAAATGTCTTATGCTTCAACCATTCTCTTGTAGATTTCCTTCAGTGTTTGATGTCATGCTGCATGGCCCAGATTTAAGCTTCAGCTCACAGTTGGATACCCTGACATTCTCCTGTAAAATTTGCTGGTACAATCCACTGTCCTCTCAATGATTGCAAGCCATCCAAATTCTGAGGTTGTAAAGCAGCTCCGAATCACGATACTTCCACTGCCCTGATTTCATGGCTGGCTTAATTTCTTTTGTTGGCATTGATGTTTCATTTTCTCCAAACATCTCATAATGCCAAAAAGTTTCACTTCCATCCTGTACATAGAATATTGTTCCAATAGCCAGTTGGAATGTAATCCAGGTAATCTCTGGCAAACTTGAGACAGGGAGAAGTGTTCTGGTGACCATTTCTCCTTGGTACCCTCCAACATACACTTGTCTAATGTACATTGTTATTCAACAATGCAAGAGGAGCCTACAGATCTTTTCTGTTACTCTGAGGTTCTTTGCAACCTCCCTGAATATTGTACACTTTGTTCATGGAAATTTTGTTGGACAACCACTCCTGGGAGAAGTAACAATGGTGTTGCATTTTCTCCATTTGTGTGCTGTTTGCCTGGCCACTGATTGATGGTAGCAGTGTTTGGCAATGTTTTTGTTGTAAATAGCAGACACTGATGGTTGCAAAAGTGTGTGTGTGTATATATAAATTTATAGGAGAGAGCCCCACAAATTTATGCGTCATCTCATTGATAGGAACATCTGACTCACCTATTTAAAATACCTTATACTTGGGCTTCATATACTTTTTTCCAACCAAGATAGTGAACACATTGGCTCATGTGTTTAATAAACCCTGTTCGGTATGTGTTGTTTAACCAGAATCACTTTATCTAAACACAACCTGATGACATTCAGATCACTGTTCATCAAAGTACTGCAGGATTAATCCTCAGGAGTTCACAAACCTCCTCTCACCATACAAATATAGCTTCTGTGCATAGCTTCTTTTATTTATTTGTTTTAACTGGTTTGTTAAACTCTCTTCATCCAAAACACTTTAAACTCAAGGGATTATTTAGTGTGGTATTTCTCATTCTATGTTTCCATAGAATAAATTCCTCAGTTCTAATTAGGTAATTTAATCTAGGTAATCTAATTTAGGTGTATTAGGTAAAATAATAGAATTTTATAAATCATTTTAAAAAGAACAATCTGAAAGGTGAAAAATATTCAAGAGTTCAAAAAACAAAAATGATAGTCAAATGGACGAATGTTCTGAAATGCCAGAGGTGTGCAGTCCATCTTGCAACATTAAGTTCTGGTTTGCCTTATATAAATTAGTAAGAGAAGGTATGCATAACCTAATTATCTGCATCGGACCCATCATACAAGGAATGGTAATTAAAAGTTGCAAGTATTTGAGTTCTCTAGAATTCTTTATCTAGTTCAGTTGTATCAAAGGGATGGAGGAGGAAGCAGAAATATTCAAAAATCAGATGCAGTTCTGTCAATCTGCTTTCCAATCTGCCCTCATGCTGTTCAAATCAAAATTTACTCATAAATAAGCATAGATAGATAATTAAGTATCATCTGAGAAACTACCTAAAATCAATCATATAGAGGAAATCAGCAAGGAAATTAACTGGTTTTAAAGTATTCAAATACC